AGGTGAATTTTCTCCTGTGTTTTTCATTAATTACTCAGTGCCATTCAGTCACAGTGTTGGCTGTTGTAGATCCTCTCAGTAATCCCTTGACCATACAAGCCTTCCTCTAGAATATTCTTTCAATATTACGCATAGGAAGAAAAATTCTGTTTGTGGAAACATTGATTTGCTTTTTAGCTGCAGAGACAAAAGTCTACCAGTATCACCATTTATCTTAGCTGCGGTCTCTAAGATAACACTGAGTATTGAGGGACAAACAGAATAAGGTGCATTTTCACTGCTGATGTAGGAAGAACTGATATAAAACAACAGCTAATTTTTATGAAAATACAAACAAGTTTTAAATTCAAAGACCAGTTTTAAAATACTTTATGTCAGAGACAGAAGGCAAATCAAGAGCCCGGATGGATGTAGCAGAACTGACTTGCAGAGTTGTCTTGGACAGATACTGCTCAAATTCTTCTCGGCTTTCAGCATGTAAAACCAGAGTTTTACAGACCTTGCTGTTGATTTTACACACTGTATCTGACAGCCGTGTTTGCTTTGTGAGCTTTTTCACACTTAGCATAAAAATATATGGTATTAAATAACATTGTATACAGTAAAGCATGGATTCATTATTGCATTTATTTCTAGCAGGAAGTCATTCACATCTGAATGCCAGTTAGAAAGCATACCACAGAAATCAACCCAACTGAGTTTCTATGTGGGCCTCAAAGCATAATGTTATGCTGTTTCAAGTCGTACAAAATATTCCACAGCTGTGCAGGCTCAGCCTGCAGATGCAACCATCATAGTCAATACTTTTATTTGAATAACACCCATCCATATCAAAGTGCTTTTCTTTCATAATGGTCCATTTTATCTGGCTAAAAGAAAACAATATTTCAAAAATATCATTAATGTATCAATTCTACGAACATGTTTGATTATATTTTCCTTTTCACTTATTACTAAATTACTTCCCTGAAAATATTTTTCTCTGTTTTCCTTCAGCTAACACTAATTCAGATCTGTATTTTGGCCCTTTTCCCTTCCCTAACAGCTTTCCACAGAAATACGTGACAGAAATAAGAATATCAGAAATAAATCAGCTAACAGTATTTACCTGAGTAAAGGTTTCTCTAGCCTACTTGTAGTTTTGATTTCGGGAAACAGCTGAAAGCAAGGCCATGCTTTTACTAAAGTTGAACCCAATATTGTATTTTATTATTTTGTGATTTCTGTAATAAAGGATAATATGTTTCTTTTGTGACAACCATTTAATTCCAAAGTCTTTTTTGTAATAAAAACAATATTGCTTCAGGCTTTTTAAATCAGCTTGGGTACACTTAAAATTTATGCGTGCCTCCAAGCTTGAGTTTGTCACACATGAGGTCCAACTATCTCCTCTTATTACAAATACCAGACCAGCGACATTGCTGGTAAAGTGTAATTGAGTTTGGCCCATCATACATTGAAAAGGAGTAATGAGAATGAGCTGAAAAAGAAAAAAAAAAAAAAAAAGAAAAAAAAAAAGAATATATTTTATATCCACTTCCTCTGGTAGAAGCAGAAGCCACCTTTTTTCCCATTGTTTAGAAATAATAGCTGGTTGATGATCAGCAATGGCTTGAGTGTAATCAGCCCTGAACACAAATCGGTGCATTACACTGAGAGCAGGTGAGCCTATGGACCCGAAAACAGTCAGACTACTATGGCAACGTGTCAAATGGCTTTAAACTATTGCTAATGGTTTATAATGAAAAGCTTGAATGGCAGGGGCAGAATTAAGAAATTACTTGTTGTATGTTTTGTGATTTCTATAAAGCAAGGCTTTTTACAAATTCTTCCGTAAGCTATTCGCTGAAGTAGATCCAAAAATGCACCCGTCGTAGAAATGTCTCTGTGCTACTAAGACACTTTTGACAAAGACTTACACGTTAACAAGGCGGCACGTAAAGATGCTGCATGTGAATCTCATGAGCGTACATGGAGATCGCTTTTGAACACGTTTTACTTGGTGTGCCCCTGCTCCACAGCCCCGCCACCGCAGGGCCAGCCCAGCTCAGGGTCTCTGCTGGCACCCACGCACAGCCCATCCCTGCCACCACAGCTCATCTCTGGCACTCCAGCACCGGTAATGCCATCGATGGATTGTGACTTCCACACAAGGAGGCTGGCTTTAACACACATCCAGACGTACAATAAATATAAACTGTATTTTAATCTGCGTTGGGCCTTGGCCTTTGCTGGGAGGCATTTAGGCTTGTCCTTGCCACAAAAACGTTCCTCAGTAGGCCGCCCTGCGGTCTAGAGACTGGGCAGCTGTCCATCCACACATGCCGCCTCACTCTTCAGTGCCGAGCAGCGCCCTCCGCTCGCCTCTGCAACCGCGCGGTATCCCTCCGCCGCGGCTGGGCCGGGTGGACTTGAGCCGCCGCCGCCTGGCTGGTCGCGCTTGTCTTGCTCGTCGTGCGCCAGCTGGCGGGCGTCGCCTCAGGCGCCTCCTTGCCTCTAGTCATCAACACCTGGGCGTTTAGGAAAGCCGCAGAGACAGGTGCCCCGGTGGGGGGCCGGGCCGGGTGGGCGCGGGCGGTGCCGATCGCTCCCTCGCTCGCTGCTCCTCCTGCTGCGGGGGCCTCTGGCTGTTGGTGCTGGCCTAAAAGCAAAATAAGTCTCTTAGGCGTGACCGCGCTTATGTGTGGCAAGAAGGAGCGGCCTGTGACCCAGCTTCCGTTAAAGGGCTCTGGCTGCAGCGGGCCCGGGCTCCCTGCTGCCCGCTCGGCTCCCCTCACGGGTCAGAGCGAGCCTGGCAGCGGCAGGGAGGCTGCGTGAAGCGCCTCTGCGTGCTTGGAGCCGGCCTGTCTTGGCTCTCGGGGAGCTCGGCCCCGGGCCGGGCGTCGGGGAGCCAGGTTGCCTTCATGTGGGCAGGGGCCAGGCCCCTGAGCTTGCGTTTGCATGGGTGGTGCGCTGTCGCTGAGCCCTGCTGTTGCCTCAGAGCCTGCAAGCAAACGGTTTAATTTTCAAGGTTGGGCAAAAAGCGTTAAAAAAAAAAAAAAAAAAAAAAAAGAGGGCAGTTATGAGCTGTGGAAAAGCTAGATTAAAAACATTCTTTTGCCAATAATGTGGTTTACACTCTTGTGGCTGTTCACAGTGGTGACTTGTTTTTAATAGTGCCCTTCTGAGATTCATTCTTGCCCCCAAAATTTAGATAGTTCTGAATATTATGTTTTTAGAGCTCTGTGTTGTTTTCTGACGTCCTATTGATGGTCAAAGCAGGTTTTCCTATGGCAACATAAATTAGTTGTGAATACTGATTTTAAAAGATTCATAGGCTATTTTAGCGTAGGGTTGTAAATAACTCCTTATTAGGGAAGCTTTGCTAGTGAAATGGGTTACCTATAAAGCCTTGTATAGGTCAGAAATGAAATAGTCATGAAAACTGCAAGGCCCTTGCTGTGCAGCTCTTGAAAGCTTGTGTTAAGGCTACTCACAGCCATAAAGGTAAGAGGAATTGCAGCAGTACTCCTCACACTGAAGTTTATAATAAAGACAAGCATACGTGAACTTGGATGCTAGCTATTAAGCCTTACTTTTTGTTGGTGCAGGCGGTTTCATGCAGTTGCATGCAACATTTGTGAAGATGAGGCTTCTTGAGATGGTTGAGACAGTGTAATAGTTTACTTCTGTCAGAAAGAGCTGGGCTGTAGCCCAGCTTCTGCTGCCTCCCCTGTGCTGGGTCTGGCAGATGATAGAGTACCAGAGCCAGCAGAAGGAGGAAGAAGCAGGATTGTAACTGTCAATGGCAGCAAGCTCAGGCATCCTGGAAAATCTTGCCTGAGGTCCAACCTTGTGAAATGTCATATGTGCAAAGCCTTCAGGCCCAGTTTACTCAAGTCATTTCGTTTGGCACATCTGTAATGTCTTACGAAACTGCACCATGAGCTAGATCCTAAAGAACAGATGACTAAGAGTTGAACACGAGAATGTGGAGACTGTGATTTCTTGTGTACCATTTCCACTTTCTTTTTGGTCTTATGTAGTTACTGATGTAGGTTTAGATCTTTTAGATTACTGTGTAGTTTAGATCTTTTTATTCTGCAGCTAGACACTTAGTATTCTCATATGAAGCTTTTGAGGGCTGCTTGTTATAACTTTTTTGTTTTTTTGAGATAAAAATTTTGCTTCCCCCTTTCCCTGCCCGCAAAAGGCTTTAAAGAAACAGTGATAAAGTAATGGTTGATTCTGGGCGGAGGAGTTTGTTTAATATATAGAAGTTGTGATGATTGTTAGTAAATAACACCTTCCCAGTCAGAAAAAAAGCTTCATTTCTCAGTCAGAAACACTAATCAGATATGCAAGAAAAACAGTGCTTAGAAAAGTACTGCTTTACATTCTTTTGAATATATTTATATTTTGACTTTATTTCACCTATAAGTTATAGTTCACTTTTTTTCATCCACTTATGTAGTGCATCATGTCCATCTTTAAAACATTCTTTAAAAGCAGTAGTCGAGACTGTGTTCACTGGTGACATCTAATTATTTCTGTTGATTACAGCTTGGAGAGTATTACAGTTGGGAGGTTCTGAGCTGGATGCGGTTGAGAGAGGCTGTGGTCAGTGTGAGATTGACCAATGTGATGGGAGTGTGGGATACGGCGGAAGCCCAGATGAAAGTGGAGAAACAACACTGGATGCAATGATTATGGATGGGTAAGAAAACTACATGGAGAAAAGAATGATCCCTGTAATTTTTAGCACACTTTAATGTAAGGGTTGCTACAGAGATCTTGTTGGTTTAGGGCTGACTGTGGGACAAGTTATATGTTAACTTGTGGAACTAGGAAAAATACTTACCTAATTGGTGGAAGAGTAGCTAGGCATGTTTGTTATTGAATCTTTACATGTAGTGCAGTAATCTGGCTCTAGATAAGCCGTTGCAAAGCAGATAGTTAGTAGTATTGTAAGCTTTCCCTTTACATTCATTCCATAAATACTTCACTTCTGGAGCAATTGTCTTCTATACTTCATTTACCATTTAAAGCTGTCCTGATTAAAAAGTAGTTGCAGGTGTGTGGTTCATGTTATGAGTTTATGTAACAAAATAGTTACTCTACTGGAAATATTACTGCGGATGGAGTTATTGTTACTTGAGCAACATCCCCATGCCTGTGAAAGGAAACAATATATGTATGAAATTTTTCACCTGCTAGTGTTATGCCATCGGTCTATGGCATAGAACAATTCAAGCAATATGTTAAAGGAGCAAGCTTTATCATTTAGATGAGAACAGATTTTTGTCTAATAAAAAATTTACAATTATTCCTGTATTTTTAATAAGTTTTAAATATTTCTTGTTTCCAGCAACACCATGGAAGTTGGGGCAGTTGCGGATCTCAGACATGTAAAAAACGCAATTGGTGTAGCGCGAAAGGTCATTGAATACACTAAGCATACATTATTAGTGGGAGAGTCAGGTAATTATTCCTTTAACTGTTTCCAAGTCATACCTTCTTCTTAAAACACTTCCTGTTAAAATTGCCGTAGACTAATCTTGGTAATATAGGTGGAGGATTCCCTGACAATCAAATTAATCTAGCCAAATAATTCAGAAGTGTTTACTCTCTTATTACGTGTGTATGAATTAGGTTTTAGTCGATTATTTGGGCATGAAAAGAAAAATATAATTTTATGGTCTTTCCACCAATTTAACTGCAAATATTAACTTGCAACCCCAAGGCTTTGCTAATATCACTGATATCAAAGGTATCAAAGATTATTTATACAAGACACTACAGAAGCTGTTAGATGTAGACATTTCATTTAAAACCATGGAGTAACTTTTTCTAAGGAATGAAAGAATTATAGACACTACGGTTACATTTTACTATTTTAGTATATGTTGAGCATGATTACTGTATTTCATAGTTTAAAAATATGAGTGAGAACTTGAATGTGAAAAACTGCAGTAGAGACTGTACTCCTAGGCACAACAAAAGAGCGATAGCAAACTGGAGGAATAGTTGAGCTTTTAAAATATGAGCTGCTGCTGTTAGAATAATACTGGTTTCAAGTAGGGAAGATACATGAGTAGTGAGTGGAAGGTTACTTGGCTCACAGTTAAGGACTTTATTTAAAATATATGTTCCTGCTCAGAAAGAAATGTGGAGATAAGTGTGGAAATTGACATTGGAGCATTAAGGGTGAGTCAAGTGCTTTGAAATTGATAAGAAAAGATAAAAGATTATTGAAGAAATTAATGTGTACAGAATGATAGAGAAGTAAGTGCAACAGCAGTTTTTTGGTCGAGTAAAATAGAGCAATAGAGGGAGGTGACAGAAGGTCTGAAAAGAGAGAGAGATTTGCAGATTCTATTTAATTTGAGCAGTTGGCCATGATTAGGTTACAAGTGGCTTTGGTAAGAGAGATTTTACAGGTGATGCTGAAACAGAAATTGGTCAGGTGTTAAACAGAGAAGGAAGAAGTGCTCATAATACTCCTTTCCCCATCATTGGTAGTTATCAAAATATTTTAATTTTTGACTGGTAGAATGAGCAGAAAAGATAAAGAAGATGAAGAAACAGGAGAATTAAAGTGCTGATTTAAAATATATTTTCCAGCCTGAGAAGATAACTCTGCATAATGGAGTCATGTGGACAAGGCTGTTACGCTGAGTCCTTGCTGTCAGTGAGAACTTCCTCAAAAGAAACTGTCTAGCAGTATTGGCAAAAGAAAGACAGGAAAGCTGAAGATAGATCTGAGTAAAAATTGGAGATGGTGATAAATGTTAGTGAATGAATCAAAGCAGTGGGGAAATTGAGAAAGAATAATATTTCTTGTGAAGCAATGTATTTTCTGTGGAAATAGGAACTTGGATAAATGAAATTATAGTTAGCTTTACCAGGTGACGATTGATAAAGAGAAAATAAAGCTATAGCTTCAGAAGAATATATTTGAACCTTCAAATCAGCATGTGAGAGAAATGACAGTTTATTTTCTAAATAAAAATATTTACATTTTCACCAGAGAAGCTAGCTAGAATAGTAAAACCTTTTATATAAATGTATATAAACTCTGCAGGCTTTTTTATTCAAGATGCAAAATTGCTGAGGTTATTCCTTACTTTTTTCCCAATAACTAAACTGCACTTTTATTTTTATATATTTGGTGATATAATCTGGAAAAGTATGCCTGTCTCCTAAAATTTCATTTCTATGAGTGGTTGACACTAGAGAGGAGGAGGCGGCAAACTGTGGCATGCATTAACTTTGTGCTGTTCATCATTCTCAAATGTGTGAGCAGTACATTGTTCCTGGCAGTAAAGTTTCAGTGAAAGTAACAGGAAATTTTCGTCTTCAGTGTTAAAACCACTGATGGAAGCTGTTAGAGTGCCATGACACCTGAATAGTCTTCACAGTTCTATTTACTTTGATTAAAAAAATTGAAGTTTAGGTATTTTAAAAGCTTTGATACATAGAGAACTTAAGGAAGAGGATGTATTACAGAATCGTTGAGGTTGGCAGGGGCTTGAGGTCTTCTGATTCAACCCCCTTTACCCCTGTTCAACCCGCCCACCCTGTAGGGCCACCTGGCGCTGGTTGCCCAGGACCATGACCAGATGGCTTTTGAATATGTCTAAGGAAGGAGGCTCCACAACCTCTGGGCAACTCGGTCACCCTCAGAATGTAGAAGTGTTTCCCACTGTTCAGAGGGAAACCTCCTGTGTTTCAGTTTGTGTCCATTGCCTCTTGTCCTGCCACTAGGCACCACCAAAAAGGGCCTGACTCTGTCTTCTTTACACCTCCCTTCAGATATTTTTATACAGTGATGAGATCCCCCCAAGCCTTTTCTTCTCCAGCTGAACAGTCCCAGCTCTCTCAGCCTTTTCTGATGGGAGAGATGCTCCAGTCCCCTACTCATCTTTGTGGCCCTTCACTGGACTCTCTCCATTATGTCCATGTCTCTCTTGTACAGGGAAGCTCAGAACTGAACACAGTACTCCAGGTATAACCTCCCCAGTGGTAAATAGAGGGGAAGGATCATCTTCCTCGACTTGCTGGCAACACTTCTCATGCTGGAGCCCAGCCTGCACTGTTATCTGCCTTTGCTGCAAGGGCACATTGCTGGCTGATGTTCAGCTTGCTGCCCCTCAGAACCAGGTCTTCTCCTGCCAAGCTGCTTTACCACTGGGTAGCCCCAGCATGTACTGCTGCATGGGGTTGTTCCTCCCCAGGTGCAGGACTTTGCACTTCTGTTTGTTGAACTGCATGAGGTTCCTGTCAGCCCGTTTCTCCAGCCTGTCGAGATCACTCTGGATGCCAGCATAACCCCCCCAGTACTTCAGCCACTCTTCCCAGTTTTGTATCATCTGCAAAATTTGCTGATGGTACATACCTCATCCAGATCGTTAATGAAGATATTGGACAGTATTGGACCGCGTATTGACTCCAGTGGTACGCTGCTAGTTACTGGCTCCAACTGGACTTGATACCACTGATCACCACCCTCTGAGCTCGGCCCTTCAGGCAGTTTCCAGTCCACATCAGTGCTCATCCAGCCAATAATTCAGCAACTTCTCTATGAGCATCTTATGGAAGACAATGTCAGAAGCCTTATGAAAGTCAGGGTAGACAATATCCACTGCTCTCCCCTCATCTCCCAAGCCAGTTGTTTCATCACAGATGGTTAGCAGGCTGATAAAGCATGACTTCCTTCTGTGAAGCCATGCTGACTACTCCCAATCACCTTCTTGTTGTTCATGTGCTTGGAAATGGTTTCCAGGATTACTTGTTCCATCATCTTTTTGGTGATTGACATGAGGCTGACTGGTCTGTAGTTCCCTGGTTCCTACTTCTTGCCCTTTTTGAAGACAGTGGTGGCAATTGCTTTTATCTGGTCTTTGAGCACTTCTCCCAGTCACTGTGATAGTTTGAAGATAAATGAGAGTTGTCTTGCAACAACATCAGCTAGGTCTCTCACTACTTGTTACATCGCATCACAGCCCATGCATTTGTGCATGTCCAAGTTGCTGAAGTATTCCCTGACCTGATCTTCTTCCACCAAGGGTAAGTCTTTTTTGCTCTAGACTTTCCCCCTGATCTCCAGAGCCTTGGATTTCTGAAGGTTGGTCTTGCTAGTAAAGAATGAGGTGAATAGGGCATTCAGTACCTCAGCCTTTTCCATGCCTTGTGTCACCAGGGCCCCTTCCCCAGTCCACAGCATGCCTATGTTTTCCCGTCTTCCTTTTGCTGTTTAGGTACTTATACAAGCCCTTCTTGTTGCCTTTGACATCCCTCGCCAGATTCAACTTTGGGAGGGCTTTGGCTTTCCTAACCTCGCATGTACATGCTGAGACAGTGTCTCTGTATTCCTCCCAGACTACCTGTTCCTGCTTCCACCTTTCATATACTTGCTTTTTATCTTTGAGTTTACCAGGAGCTCCTTGTTCATCCGTGCAAGCCTCCTGGCATTTTTACCTGACTTCCTGCTTGTTGGAATAGACTGGCTGTTGATCTTAGAGGAGGTGATCCTTGAATATCAGCTGGCTTTCTCAGACCCTTCTTCCCTCCACGGCCATGTCCAATGGGACTTTTTCAAGCAGATCCCTGCAGAGGCGAAATTCTTTTCTCCTGAAGTCCAGGCTTGTGATCTTGCTTTTTGCCCTGCTCCCTTCTCTCAGGATCCTGAATTCCACCATATCGTGGTTGGTGCAGCGAAGGCTGCCTTCGACCTTCACATCCACAGCAAGCCCGCCCTTGTTTGTAAGTATGAGGTCCAGCAGAGCAGCTGTCCTCATTGGCACTTCTGCCACTTGTGTCAGGAATTTGTCATCAATGGCTTCCAGAAACCTTCTAGATTGTTTATGCCCTGCTGTGTTGTCCCTTCAGCACATGTTGTTTAAAATAGCCGTGCCTCTGATTATTGATATAATTAAAAGAATTGCTAGTCTTTTAACTTTCAAGAATGTCTGTACCTGTGCCTTTATTATCTCTTTTTGAAATTATTTCCTTTTCAGTGTTTTCAGTGTGGGGAAAAAAAAAATCCAGACAAAACTAGTAAATAAAAAATAAAAATGTCTGATAGTGTGAGTCAGCAGGTTCTAGGTCTGGAAATGAAAAGTCGAGTCAGAGGCTGTGAACACTGAAATAATTATCCAGTGAAAAAAATCATTCAAATTTGATAACCTCTAAAGTCTGAAGTCATATTGTTGCATCATTTTCACCCAGTAAATGAAAATTTAATAAATTACATTATTTTTCCCCTAAGAAAACATGCAAAAAGAGGCTTTGAGAATGATTCACATTGGGGAAGTGAAGAAATCATTGTATCATATTGCATGAGAAAGCTGAACCTGTGACTTACACGTGAACAGTTTTTAGCTAATTGCAAGCTGTGATGAAAGCTTGTGCCATACTCAGTGAAGAGGATGGCAGTGTGGTGGTGATAAAATCTACCTTGAACAAAAGAACTCATGCAAGTCAAACCCGATGCCATCTTTTACTCTTGTTGTTGTAGATGTAAGCCAGAATATAACCAAAGCTGGTGTGTTTTTACAGCTAAGGTTTATAACGACAGTGGTGTACGTAAAAATGAGTTGGTGTAGCTTTTGTTGAGCAGAGACAGATAACCACGCTGATCAGTTCTTGCAGTGTTAAAAGAGCTGCTTTCTCCATTCATGGCCTGATTTCTTTAGGAAAGGTCATAGAAAACTGGCAATAAAAGCCATGTATACCAATGTAGAACTGAGTCTAGTGAGGACATTTGGTGCAGAATGGTTACAAGTGAGGAAAAAAAGAATAATTTTGGTTATCTGCCAAGAAATTTTCAGGTTTGTCTCCAATAGATAGGAAAGTTTCATAATCACAGTGTGCCTGACCTTTTCCTTTTTTGTCCTAGCAATAATTAGACCAATAACCCAAGTAAAAAGTTCAGAGAGTAAAAATGACTAATTCTGCTTCCTGGAATAGAAATAAGGCTTCAAAAGTCATGAAAGAATGACTGGCAAACATGCACAAGCACAATTTTACCTAAAAAAAAACCAACCAACCAAACAAAAAAAACCCCAAACCTGCCTGTTTATTCTAGAAATGGGAAAATAAATATCTGTTTAATTGAACCTGTCAGTTTTCTTTTGCTCTGAATGCAAAAAGACTTTAATTGTGTCAGTTTTTAAGAAAAACACAGAAAAGCTGTCCAGAAGTAATTGAAGGTTTTTCTTAATTCTTGGACTGGAGAAGCTTGTTCAGCTCTGTATTATAGTGACATTATTATCAAGGATTGGTAATACAAATTGTTTAAGCATCTGAATCTAGCAACAATATCTGTTACTAGGTAATATCAAAGGTATCCACAACCAAAAGATGAAAGAACAGTTGATCTTTTCTCTTTTCCGTTTCCCTAACTATAAAAGCCATTCTTAGTAGTGCAGCATTTTTTCATTGCTTGTATTGGTATTTCTTTTGCTCCCTTGACACATACTGTATTAATTTTCAAAACAAGGAAGCAGTCAATTTTAAAGCTGCAAGAAAGAAGTGTAATATGATGTAAGCTGGTGGATTGATTTCTGCAAGTATCAGTGTTTTAGTGGCAAATGCTGTGCCGCTATGTCACTTACGTTTCACAAAAGACTAGCTTTTTAAGGAAAATATACTGTTATACTGTTATGTGTATCATTTATTTAAATATTTCTGTGACACACATAGCCCAGGCCGCTCTTGCATCCAGTTGATAAGAGAGTTGAATTTGTTTCTCTTCCAATGGTAAAACTTATATGTGTTAACATAGTTATAGTGAATTGAGGAAATTTGATACTGCCAATAAAGGAAGAGTTTGTTACTGCACTTTTACATCGCTATAATGGTTGATACTGCTCCCTGAAGACACATGTCTCATCTCGATAGAGAATGTAGAATTTCTTGATTTCTAGATAACATTACATGACTGCATTATCATAAAATACATAAAAATGTGAATAAGTTAATGTTTTTGGTTTTGTTGTTGTTTTTCAAGCCTCCCTGTTTGCTGTAAGAATGGGGTTTCCATATGAAGATTTAACTACCCAAAAATCTCTTTCGGTGTATTCAGAGTGGCTTAATCAAAGCTGTCAGCCAAACTACTGGAAGGTACAGTACAGTGGTGGTGGTGAAGGGAGGGTTTAGAAAGTCAGTAATGCAGCATTGCCTCTTCCTTTCAGCTTATATTGAAGTTGGGCTTTACATGTGAAGAAAAATAAAGTTTTGCTTATTAAACAGAACAAACTTGCAATTACCAAGCATTTGGTAGACTCGGGAAGAGTATGCATCTAGCTCTTATTTCTTAGATCCTGCTGGTTTTGACTTTGCTGCAGTAGTGTTTTGGTGTGGGAATTAATTTTTTTTTAGCTCTAAATTTGGACAAGACTTCTCAAACTTAACAAATCAGTGCATGTATTTTTTGATGCATGTATCAAATTTCTGAAAGAAAATCTTACAGTAGCAATTAAGATCCTTAAATAGTTGGAGAGGCTTTATGCAGACCTGTGAACACATCAGATTAGTGCAGCTGTCCGTTAAACTTACCTGTTGTGGTGAGGTTGGTTTGTTGTTTTGGTTTTTTTGTTTTGAGATTGGTGTTACAGATTTCTACATGTTTGTACACAGTCTTCATTGTTTCTTGGATGTGAAATGCTGCATTGCTGAACCATTTTAATTCAATACATATTTTGTTTTTCAGTTGTGAAAATATCTTGACTGATACTGACTTAACAGTAATATCTTGACGTTAGTAAAACAAGCTCAGTTCATCTGCTTGTTTTCTTAGCTTGAAAATATTCTTCATTTTGCTGAAGAATGAGCTTTTTTTTTAACCAGTCAATTAAGCAAAGAAGAATCTTTACTTTGAACAATATAACTTTCTAGTAGGAAAAACTTTTTACCATATAATACCAGAGGTCAGTCTTTATTCTTTAAATGAAACAACTTGTGGGATTTCAGTACAGGCGTATAATTTAAGTATTGGGCATCTGATACCTGTGTAGTAGATTATAGGTATTGATTGTAGTATTTTTAAATTTGCGTGTAATGAAGCATAATATATTATTCATGCAAATCACAAAATAATTACAGAATGTGGTACCAGACTCTTCAAAATCCTGTGGACCATACAAACGGCCTGAAAAAGTAACATATAAAGAAGAACAGACCTTCTCACAAAGAAGTGTTCATAATCATGATACTATTGGTAACAACTTTTGGTAACTCTGATGCTGATTTTTTTTTTCTCATTCCCTTACAGGTTAAATCATGCTAAGTTTAAAGAAAAGTATTTCATATAGCCATTATTTCCTATTTATAGTGGTTTCAAGATTCTGTTACTTATGTGTAAGGATGGAGTGCCTAAAAGTAGGATTTGGTGTTTTGTTCCCCCCCCCGCCCCCCGGTGCACTGGCTGCACAGCCACTTGCTTCATTTTTTGCCCTTAGCTATTTGTTCACTGCCCTACTGCTTTTCCCTCAGATACCTTTGCATAATTGCTTAGGCAGCTATGGATGCTTAGAAAACCGATCAAGATTAAAAATAATTATTTTTATCTTGATTATGGTTAACTTAGGTCAAGTCTCCCCTGTAGCCGTCAGACCAACTTAAAAGGCTTTGCGGTTATGGAAGAAATGAGTACACAGTCCTGTTGCCAACCAAAAGCAATGTTTGTCAAACAGTCCTTAAACTTATAATATAAAGCTTGCTTTCCTTTTTCTTCTATTCTGGCTTCTGACTAAATCAATAAAATTTTACAGAAACTACTATGCTTAAAGCAGATTAGCAGTAGTAGTCCCAAAAACTTCTAACAGTTTACTGATTGAGGACTGTTAATTGCTAAGCCTATAAGCTGATTAACGAGCAGATCGGACAAAGAACTGGAGCAGTTACAGATTCATGTCTTTCAAAGCTTTATACTTTGTAGTCTTGAAACTTGCACTTTTTGGTTTAGTCTGGATTTTTCTCAGTTTAGCAATTTAGAACTTTTTGCCTGACAGTATTTGCAATACCAAGAATTAACAAGCTGTTTCAAGTGTGGATCTTTCTTCTTTGCTTCCAGTCCATCCTACTGATAACCAATTAATGTACTACAGAAGTCAGGCAGCCTACCAAATTCTTAAGTTGGTAGGTAGCTTTCTTACTGGATATACAGTCTTCAGTATGTGCTAGAAAACGCAGAAATTGTGGATTGTCAGGATGAGAGGGGAATCTGCTAAATACAATTCAGGAATTGGTGTATCATTAAGTAGTCCTAAGCTGTTTTGTAGTAAATGATGGTGCTTATGCTTGTACTTTCAAGTTCTCCCACCCGCTTGTTTTATATATGAAATGCCTCATTGACTAACATTTTGAGAAGAGTCTTCATTCAGAAAGCATTTAGGAAGTTGGTAGGAACTGATGCCTTTCCAGTCTTTTTGCAGAGGCTAACGGTGGCCATAGAGTCGGTGCCTCTATGCTTTTAGCTTCTACTGGTCAGGAAACTTTTCTATGAGAAGGAGGTACAGCAGTACCTCAAGAGCATTCAGCTCTTTGGATTCTGCTTCTTGGCTCTCACTTTGTACTGGAGTTTGATGCCAGCAGCAATTTCTTCTGTCTCTTAAAGAGGTGAAGTCTTACTCTGTGGAGAAGCAGCTGATCGCAAATCCTGTTCCAAGTGGCAATCTAAGCTTTTCTAATATGAGGCAGTGGCTTCCTTGTCAGCTCAAAATATAGCAAGGGGTAGGCTCATCCACACATTTGATTGCCTGTAATGTAATTCTTGTTACTTTGGTAGGCAGTATTTCACCTTCTGCCAAATTTAAACTCATCCTTCTGACTCTTTTTTTTTTAATTTCCCTCAAGCACCATTTATAATTTCCAAACTTTGTTGTTCTGATGGTACTGGTGCAGGATGTGGTGACACCCGGTACTTGTTCTCTACTGGTTAACATAGGTGTATATCAGGAGACAGTGGCTGCTTGTGCAGCAGTAATGTACAACTCTGAACAGTGTGGCACTCACTGTTCTAGATTCCTTTTTAAGCTCTTGTAATACCTCCAAAAAGTTTCCAAATGTATTTTAAAAAGAACTTGTTTTCTTTAAGAGTACGACTTTCCTGTGTTTCAGGATATCAGTAATTTGGATAGTCTGGGTATTGTGGTTCTGTTTTATAACCATAGTGCCATTTTAATAAGTTTGTTAGGAGTGTTTCTGAATATGTTTCATCCCTGTTTAAAAATTTCAGGTATGGTTGTAATCGGTGGGAGTGGAACTGTTGCTTCTGGGACATCTACTAATGGTGCAGTCCACAAAATTCCAGGGTTAGTATCTCTGGTTTTACAAAAAAGCTTTTTTCCCACCTCATTTCCTATGTTAAGTTTATCTAAAGGTTATATGTTTTAGACTGTGATGATCACAAAATGGCCTTGTTTATTTCTGGGCACTGCCATAAATCCTAATACTGAGAAACTGATTCAGTTGCAAGATGATTTGTGTTTGTTCGAGGGAATGCTTGTTTTTCAGCTTGCTTAATGCACCATACAGAGAGACAAACAACTGGCACAGTAGTGAGGCAACTTGTAAGGCAAGGCACCAGAGACAAATAAGGATTTTGGAGAGGTGCACAGTCTCCAAAGAAATGTGCATAGAATCAGAGGCCCAGGCATGTATTTTGTCTTTGAGATTTTTTTCTGCCCAGTTAGGAATCTTGTCTGTCAACCAAGTCAGACAACAACTGGATTTAGCAACAAGTTATTGAACATACTAATATCCCCAGCTGCTTACTTTTGCCCACTGGCTAAACCTTACTGCCCTAACTATAGTCAGTATAAAAACAAACAGTTGTGAATTGGAGCTGGATTAAGCCTTAGGTCAGCCAGGTTATCACAGATCACTTTTATCAGTAGTTTTAAGACAAGACTTCTGACTGCAGTGGAGTGATCTCTTTACCTGTTCTGTTCTCCTGTGGGTTTAACACTAACCCAGCTGGAGGCAGTAAGGTTGACAAAGTTAAAAGTGTGCCTAAGTCATAAGAACTTGCCAATATCAGGCAGGTATTATTACGTTAATGCAATCCCATTGGAATTAGTAAATTATAGTTTTCTATAGTTTCCAGTTTTTGGGTTTTTTTCCATTGTTCACTACAGCCGTGTAGGAGATTCTCCGATAGCTGGAGCAGGATCCTATGCGGACAGTACAGCCGGAGGAGCTGCAGCTACTGGGGATGGTGACGTCATGATGCGCTTCTTACCCAGGTTTGTCCTTAGGGCAGACTTTGCTAGCTTCCGCTAGCAAAATGTGAACTCAGCAAATGAAGTAATTGATTAAAAAGACAGTCTGACTTACTGGCTGCTGAAGTGGGAGTAAAGGAAGGAATGGCAGGGGAAAGAACAGTAGCAGAATCAAGTCATCCTTATGATCTGTCTTAAAAGAAGTGACTTTTTAAATATCTTGATGACAGATCCCTTAATACTGCCAAGCTGTGAGCAAACAGGCAGCAGGTAATGAGTATATTCCCAACCTGCATGTTTTTCAACAGAACTGATTAGCTTTCTCCTCCAAAATGTTTTGTTGTGTGGGAAATAAGTGATATAAATTGTAGAAAGGATGAGGGGTGAGTCTCAGATTACTCGGGAGGGTGGGGAGGTGTCAGTGTAGTAATCCTATGTAATTGCATCTAATTTGAAACTGGAGGAGATGTTTTAGTGCTGTTGTCGTGGTTGCATAACCTGCGTAAAATATGGCTGTTTTCATCACTGAGTCTTGACAGTCATGCTTGTGGGTCAGTCTCAGCA